AAGCAACTATCAAAGTCAGCAATTGAACTGTAACAAGAGGAGGTTTTACTTTATCTATACAGATTAATATTTGAAAGGTGCAAATGAGAGGGAGATGAGTTGATATAGGTACAACATAAATAGGTTCAAAATCAGGCTGTGATTATTAAGAGCAAACACATAACATTTCAAAAAGTAGTAAATTAGACAGTCTACATTAAGTAATTATTGTAAAATCTAGTTACAGAATACAGCACCTTGAAATGGTGAAATAGTCAGGTTAACGAAGAGCAAAGTGCACTGCATGCAAAGAGAAATTTAATTCTGTTGTTAAACAAGTAAAACAGAAGATAACTTGTTTTCAACAGGGTACAATAAAACATTTCAAAATCTGAAATGTTAATCAGAAAAAATTGTTGGATAAAATACTGATGCAAAAGAAAACAAGTACAACAAACTACTTGTGAAGCAAAGGTACCATTAAAGGTTAAGCACAACTATTCTGAGGGAACTCAGTTTTATGTTCTAAAAGTGCTAAAGAATTTGAAAATTTCTCTCTGCAAACTCTACAGAAGTAAGGCTTTGTTCTTTTAGTTTTCGACACATCCAGTCTTTCTAGTACTACCTTACACACACGCAATGACTCACTGGAGCACTTTGGAGAACTAGGTATGGGGATTGATTCAGATTTAAGGGGACTGCAGGTATTCACTTGGCCTATCTCTACTTCAGGAGATGCAGTAGGACTTCCAACATTAACTAGGATAAGAGAGCTATTCAGGCGCTCACTTCCTGTACGCTTAGAAACAAAGCTACCACCATCAACACTTTTTTCAGCAGCAGAAGTCGGTGCAGCCAGTGACGTTCCAGTTGATAGAGTAGATGCTGTTTCAGTATCCGTATCATTATTGGGGTCCTCAGCTGTGTCAAATAGATAAATAACATCTGGACCTCCTGAAAAAAAAAGAAGAAAATAGGCCGATAAAAATGATTTCAGGCCAAAATATTAGTTTTTAGAAGCCTAGAAGTATTTATTTTAATTTTGCCACCACCATCACTACTCATTTAACATTTAAAATACATCAAACGAAATATAGGGGCCCGAAGAAATTTACATTTATACATGCAAAAGTCAAAGTAATACGATCTTGAATTATAAAAACATTACTTTTATTTTGGATAATTATCAAGTTTGGTAAAAAAATAGGAATTCAAGTAACTGAGTTTCATCAGTAATTGGTCAAATTGTAGTACGGCTACAACACTGCCTCCATATGATTAGGGAGTTTGATGTAATTTTGACATCAATATGTGAAATCAAAACTAAATAAATTTCCTAATGAGAAATCCATCATGGTGACTGACAGTAATACAGCAGTACTACAATTTGATGACCAATTCTTGTAGATAAATCTCAGTCACTTGGGAGAGTGCTTCTGGCTTTACAAAGCCATTAAAGTTTCTTCAGGAGAACCCAGCATGGTTTACACTGAGGAATAGAAGTTTTGCCTGAAATAGAGAAACATTCCATGGAGAATTTGAGTAAACCATATAAAACTAATGTAGTAAGTATTGCAAATTTGTGTCGGACAGTGAGCTCTCCCTATTGCTTCCACACCCGTGTGTTGACCCACAAAGGCGAGGGGAGCTCAACATGGGTGGATGGATGGGAGGGTCATTATGGTCATGAGAACTCAGGCCTCAGAAACCTGAAGTTTGTAGGGAGAAATCACTGTCCGACCCAATGTTCAAAATTATACAAACCTGTATTAGAATTAGATGTTCTCGTTTTACCCTTGTCGGGTTGCTGTTTAGTAAGCTTGGGCTTGACAGGTGGATTTGTTTCAGCAGATGTGCAGTCAGACGCAGACGGCAGTTCAGCTGTGTCAGTCACCACAGGGGATACAGATGCACCAGGCATTTGCAAAGCTGAGGCCACAGGTCCGTCGGGCTCGGCTGCTGCTGAAGGCACACCTTGTGCAGGAGGCACAGCTCCGTCGGTCACAGGGAAGCCGGGCACCGACACCAGTGCAGCAGATGGCACAGGAGAGTCGGGCACTGGCACCAACACAGCAGATGGCACAGGAGAGTCGGGCACTGGCACCAGTGCAGCAGATGGCACAGGAGAGCCCGGCACCGGCACCAGTGCAGCAGAGAGCACAGGAGAGTCGGGCACTGACACCAGTGCAGCAGATGGCACAGGAGAGTCGGGCACTGACACCAGTACAGAAGAGGGCTCGGGAGAGTCGGGCACCGGCACCAGTGCAGCAGATG